GGGGGGGTGCGAGCATACAAATTCCGACTTTAATTTTTCACATTCATTTTTGGACCACCCTAATGCACACACACACGGTTCTGCCTTATCCAATTACACGTGTAGCAACAGAAGAGCCAATTTTGATCCTTTTTATTTAATTTTTAATAGCTACAAATAAATGCATGTCAACAGATTCGGTCCTTTTTCCAGTGACTCATTTAATGGAGGTCATACTATGATTTCTTATCAAAAAAAAAAAAAAAAACAAAAAATTGACACAAATTTATTTCGCATTAAATGTCACCGAAACTGTCAATTGCCATTGTTTTACAACTGACAGTGGGACCGCATGCACACGCACAGACATTAAATGTCCGAGAGCCACAAGGATGATTTCTAACTTTACACTTTTTAGATTCTTGACCATTTACTTGTCGCTACACAGCCTAAAATAAAAGCTCAATCAAATACGAGTAGCTAAACGAAGAAAACACAAAAACATACAAAAGAACCAATAAAAAATCAGCAAAGACGCACTGATGCGTTGAATTAAACTGTCAATTTCAACAAATTAGAGTGGATTTTGGATTATACATGCCTACTTTGTAGGCGGGCGAGGAGTATCTCTTCGGATGAACCCACATTAATGTGGCAATAATTCTGGGACGAAAGCAAAAAAAAAAATTTGGGACAAACTAACTGACAGGTGGATTTAGAGCGAGATATTAAAAGTAGAGACATGTGTGTAAGCTCATCCGTACTCAGAAAAAAAGTCAACAAAAAAAAAAAAAGCAAAAAAAAGTTGCCCAGCTAACTGCTTGATTTGGTAGGTTCAACAAAAACAATAACACACTATGATATAATACATTTTTTATCTGAATAATCGACGAGCTTATGTTTAAAGCTAAAAAGTATTATTTGTGGATTCATTATTTGCACAAAGTGAAATGTACAACAGCTTTTGCATAATAAGTAAATGCAAATTTTCACGCTATACAAAAATTATCAAATAAAGCAAAAAAAATAAAATTAAAAAATAAACAAATGAATTTACATAAATGAACAGATAAACAAGCAAATCACTTACATAATATTGAATTTAAAATAACTGCATAACTATTAAAAATTATTTACAAAACGTTTTTATTAGCAGTTCTTAAATTCTATTTTATATTTTTTATGCTTAGAAAATAACACTGTTAGCACATAATTTAGTTTAGTAATTGAAAATTATTAATTAAGTTTTTGTTTGTTTATTTTTTTTTTCCTTTACAGCATCCACTTATTAATTAAACGCACAGTGCAGCGGCGGTAGTTTTTATAACAACAAAACGAGTTGGAAAAACTTCAATTGGTGCCTTATCACACGCAGAGGTATGTATGTATGTTTACACGTATATGTATTTATAAAAAGAAATATTTACGTACTTTAATTTGCGACCATTCCATATAAAACGTAACCACAAAGTAATAATTTTATGCGCGTTAGATTTCGTTATGGCCTAAATTCTGTACCCCAAAAAATATTTAGGTTAGGGAAGAATAAGAAAACGATTCGTATTCTAATGTGTGTGTCTCTAAGGTAAAAGTCTGGAAGATAATTTCAGAAAACAGTCGGGAATTATAGCATTCTCTACAAAAAGTGGACTTAATTATCGTTAGATACATAATCGTATTCTTACTTTGAATTCTAATTTTTTTTTGTAAAGTCTATTGTTTTTATAATCATTCTCCTATCTATTAGTTTGACAGTTTTTTTTAGAAAATAACTCTGAAATGGTCTTGATTTTTAATTTTTGAAAATATGTTCCATATTCCTAATTTTTTGTTTAGCTCAGCCATGTTCAGCTGGTTAGGTTAGCTTGGCTGATCCGTAGTACCATCAGTCGGTCCTTAGTGCTCCTAAGTAAATAGAGGTCTATAGTTTAACCATAGTGATAATACATTTTTTAGCAAGTTTAAGCAATTTGCTGGTCATTTGACTTCTGCTGTTTTCTTCAGTGAGGTCAGTGCCAAGGTAGTTCGGATCCAATCTTCACAAAACTGGAAAGAGACCTATCTCGGCAGCCAGCTCAAAAACATCCTATCTCAGAAAACTTTTCAAGGGCGCCCTATTTCAGAATTTGCTTGAAGAACTCGCTATCTCAGAATTCGGCTCAAAAACACTCTATCTCAGCATTAGCTCAATACATTTTCATTTGTGATAGGGCGTTTTTGAACCGAATTCTGAGAGAGGGCGTTCTTCAACCAAATTCTGAGACCGTTTTTCAATAAGATTCTGGTAAAATATTTATTTATTTTTTTTCATTTTTATTTCAACATATTTTGATTAAAAGTAAAATACTGATTAAAACAAAATATTTCACACAAAAAAAAAAACATATAATCGATAATCGAAAGAGGCTATTGCCTGAAAATTTTAAAATGCACTTAGTGGCATTGTGCTACTATGATAGCTAGTATGATGATAGATAGTATGATCGCTGTATTGTACCAATCTTTTGACTACAAAAAAAAATTTCCTATACCTTAAAAATTTATGCAATTAAAAAAAAAATCAATTCAACAAATTTTCGTAAAAATTTCGAGTTTTTAATTAGGTTTTGAGTATGGAGTTTTTTAGCACATTGAATTCTAGTAGAAGAAAGTACAAGTTTCAAATGGCTAAAAACTAGGATTAATTTTTTAGAGTTTTTAAAAAACTTCGAAATTTGTACGAAAGTTTTTGGATTTTTTTTATATTGCACAACTTGGAAACTTGGATTTAAAGGAGTTTTGTTAAAGAATAAACTATATTTTTATAAAAAATTAACCAAATTTAAATAACAACGAAAATAATACGTTAAAACTTGGCAAAAAGTGATACGGCTATAATTTTTTGACCACTGTATGTATTTTTTAATATCTTTTATTGGACATGCACATTGTACATAAAGGAAGTACATAACAAAATTAAAAAAAAGATGCCTTAAAAAAAGGCAAAATGAGCTTTGAAAAAAGGCAAACATTTTCAAAGCTCTTGCCTTTTTTTTAGTTTTTAGTGCCCTGAGAACACGCCCAGCATCTGGCATTGAATACATTTGTATTTAGTTGACAATTTACTTATGTAGTTGCCAGTGTACATAAATGTATGAAGTATGTATTTGTTTATTTGTACTTTTACTTGATATTTGCAAAAAGTATACCTCATTAAAAATCGCTATTTCAACAAAACTGTATAGTTAATTCTCATACCAAATGATATCTCTTTCCAACAAGCACACGTTTTTCCATCCCATTTTACCTTATTGTCAGCACAAAATTTATTGGTATGAATAATTCAGCGATCATTTACTCTCGTTTATTTATTTATTATTTGGTGCCGTACATATGTATGTATGTATGTACATCTGTATTTTCCTTAGCCATGACGCACTGTTTTAATTTATTTAGTTTAAATTTACTACTAGCGAACCGTGGCGTATAACGGTCGCGATTTTTATTTTTTTTTGCGCCTATACATCTGCTAGTTTTATACACACGTTTTTTAGTATCCATGCCGGTAATAAATTTTTTACCAATGACATTTGTGACATTGTCAAAAGTTTCAGCGAAAACAAGAAAAAATTTCATATCTTTTTTTCAAACTATTATGCCATTAATATACATATGTACATATATACACACATGCATAAAAGTTTATTATTATAAATGAAATCCGCGCTCACATTGTTTTGCTTTTGGTCAACTCTGCTGTGCTGTATTTATTTGTGAAAAGCTTTATTGAAAATTTAATTCACCCAGTTTTTAGTAGCTTCCAAAAAAAAAGAAAGCTTTCCGTTATTAACCTAAAAAAAAAAAAAAGAAAAAAACTTTTAATATTTTAATAGAAGTAAAATGTACAGTGTGGCATGAATTTTTGTTTAGCAAATCCAACGTAATTTTATCATTTTCATAATTTCTACTCATAATTTCTACTAAAACATTTTGGATTTTGCGGCAAAATTGTCTTTAAAACTGAATAAGCCAACTTACTGATATTTAAATGATTTACATGTCTTTGGTGAAGTCATCCTTTACAATAATACACCGCTTACCTGAAATGAAAAAAAAAATTGAAAAAAAATCAAGATATTATTAATTCAGAATTTAATTACTGATTAAGGTTATGCATGCACGTATGTATATAGGTTTGTACGGAATGCATTATATATTTCCAGCATGAATTTTTGAGCTTCATGGTTTGAGATTACATATTTACATATCTTCGTTTTAAAGAACAAAACCGCGTATCAAGAAAATGCAAAACCTTGTATGTAAGTTTGCCTTAATTGTATAAGAGAGCATAAAATTGGTCTTATTTCAAAACGGTTCTCTTTTTTATCGCCAATTATCTCTTCTTCTTATATCTAAGTAGCGATATTTTATTATGAATGGAGGAGCGTCCAGTCAGTAAATATCTTTTCTGGCACACAAGTCAGTTATGAGGTTTTGCACAAAAGTCAGATATGCGGTTTTGTACTTTAAACGATGATATGTATCTACTACATACATAAATGTGTACATACATAATGTTTCGCAATCAATATTTTTGCGATTAAGTAAGTTAAAGTCGTCAATTTAGTTTTGTTTTATATTAGTAGATATGTTTGCAAGAAATTTGGGTTGCATAATCTCCAGGATGTCCTAGATCACCCGTTCACCCCCTCTACTCTGGAGAGAAATGTTTTTATTGAATTCTGAGGATAAAAATACGTAACTTTTGTAAGAAACTTTTTTCCCGGAAGTGCCCTTTTCAACCTATGACCTTCGAACTTCAACTGATCCTAGACTTCTGAAATGTGTGAACACTAGGGTGGATCGACAAAAAAAGTTTTTCCAGTCCACCCCTAGGATTCAAGATATTTTGAAGGCGATCGCAAAAAAAATTTTTTTTTTTTGCCACGCCCCCCCCGATGGGCTATTTACTTTTTTTGACACTTCGTCGCCATTTTAAGTCCGATTTTAATGAGCCGTACACCGTTGTAGTTGGCGCGAATGGCGGGGTCACCTTTCTTGTGGATTGGGCAGAGCACACTTGAATTCCAGTCGTCGGNCTGACCCACCCACTAATTTTCGTCGAACACTGGTAAATATTAATCAGGAATTAGGTGCAATTTAGGTGCAGTTTAGGAAGTAGTATTGGCAACGGCAATCTTTTAGAGCATAGCTACCGTACATTTTATGCTATTCTACACATAATTGCGGAGCTTTCTTCGCTCTGGGAACATAATGCAGTAAAATATGGCGAGTGTAAAGTTTCAGTATTACCGTACATACATACATGCTTAGCATTTGTAATATTTTCGTTTCAGTTCTTGGATTTGAGTAAAGCCTTGATAAAACGATCTGCGTCATTTTTTTTAGGATGCTGTTGATAGCATAAAAACACATTCCGGATACCATACACTCATCAAGTGTTATTTCCTGCTGATAAAGTACTGCGAATTAAAATTGAGTCAGTCATTTGAATGACTATATACATACATACATAGTACGCTAAATAAGTATTTATATTTGTGCGTAAATATTTGGAATTACATATCAAAAATTTTCTGTTCCTTTGCAAAACCATAAGCTCTCAGCCTTGGTCGTGGGCGTAAACTTTCGGGTAATCATTTTATTTTTTGTACAATCATTTTAATTATATTTCATTTATAGTATGTAGCTGATGAAAAATTTGTTGAATTATAACAAAGCTTCTGAATTTGCGTATTAAAACTTTTAGTTTTTTTTGCAGCGTGTATATTCGATGAAACATACATATTTACATGCATACATTCACACATTTAAAGCCAAATTTCAAATTACTACGTCATTTCACCACACTGCTTAAAGCTACTAAATAAAAAGCTTTCCATCTCATCTCATTAATTAATTCGACTCTAAAGTTAATTGTGTCTTTCACTGGCTTAGTATTTCTGGGTTACTATGCTTATATTGTATAATAGTAAGTGGTGAATTAAAACAATAAAACATTTGTATACAACAGATATGCAACTCCACAGGGAGCCCGAAGAAAACAAAGACTGGAATGCGCGGCGAAACCAACTTTCGATTTAGCGATGTGACAGGTTTATACAATAAATTAAATTCACCTGTTTTATCGCTATTTTAGTATGAAAGCGCGTGTGCATAGTTGTGTGAATTCTTTGTTTATTTTTTTATTTTTTTTTCGGCGCCTACCATATTTACAGCGAAAATATGCGCGAACATCGCTTTTTATGCCAATATGAGCGCGATATTTTTTCAACGCTTATTTCCGTTGCTCACAGCTCGACAACTTGTCGCCATTGCGAATGTGAATGGCCGGCAAGTAAAAGCGCGCCATTGCATTGTAGCAGGCGGGTGCGTGC